TTGGAGAATGAGCATCTTCTGGGCCATTTGCCTTGCACAAATGGGGGACTGGTTGAATGTGGTGGTACAAGTCTCCTGCTGTGCTGGGACTGGACTTTTTGCACTCTGAAGTTGTGATCTTTGTCACCTCAGAAAGTGCTGCTGTGTGCCCTTGGCAGTGCTTCCTCCTCATGAGCTACATCATGGGCTTCTAGAAAACCAGAAATGTGTTCAGTTAAAACGGATTTTCACTTTCTTACCAAGTCTCCTCTGTATTTAGGGATTAAAGCAGTCGGTACAGAATTTTCCTGGAGTTAAGCTAAATGAGGTACAGTTTACACATGGCATATTTTTTGATACAGATTTGTAGTTGTATAGGAATATAAAAATAAATTGTACTGTTGTCATTTTGAGTTTTCCTATTAAGTTGGTATGTCTGACTAATTCTTATCTTCTGTCTTGCTTTGAATCAGAAACAGATACCAGAAGACGTGGCTGACATTTTTAATGCCCCCAGTGACAGTGAAGATTTTCTGGGGTTCCGAGATGATGCTTCCAGACAGAAGTTGTTGTCAGAGGACACCTCTGCTGGTACTGATTCCCTGGAGTCAGGAAAAAAGGTAGGAACAGATTGCTTCGTAGTCCTGTTGCTAGATGACAGTACTGATAACTTAAGAAAACCAGGAGGTGGCTTGCTTTGGTACTTGAGGTTTTGTGTGGAGCATGAAGAAGGATCAAGGAGGAGAGGTGGTGGTGGAGGGGGAAGCCTCGTATGGGAGCCTGAGCTTCTGCTACCTGCTTGGCAACTACTTCTCCCTGCCTTGTTTTCCCAACTTGTGAGATGGAGATTATGCTAATGATCTTTACTGCAAAATATAAAATCCTCTGATGAGAAATGCTGTGGAAGAGCTAAGCACTGTTAGTTCAACATGCATTACTGGGAATCCTAGTGAGACTTGTTCCAAATTTACAGCTGGCACTGCCTTCTTCACTATTTCTGTATTTTCCCTTGGGTTGAGAATTATTTTAAGTCTGCATCAATATTGAGTTTAACTCTTTTACCACTAAACAGTACAGTAAAAGCATAACTTTCTTTTTTCCTGAGCTCAATCCATTTATGATGCCAAACACCACTGTCGCTGAGAAAGATCATAGGTACTTCTCCAGGAGCCTAAAAGGTTTTGATGTGAAGAGTGAAACAATGGGAAGTTCAGAAGAATTCTGCAGTTGGGAGAGGAGACAAGGCACCTGCCCTGCTGGGGTGGGGAATGGGATGTTGGTGCATCGGGTGTTCCCTTGGATGCTGCTGTGCATTAAGTAGTGATCTGCCTGTCTGCTTTTTCCTTGGGGCTTTCTGCAATCTTACTCCCATAACCTCTGCACTTCTGCTGAGTCTCAGATGTTTCTCCTATAGGTATCCCTGATGTCTGTTTTACCTTGTGCAGACCATTCTTCCTAGGTGTAACAGCGTAGCTCAAGGCCTGTTATTTTTAGACACTTCAGCTAACAAACAACTTATTTTTCACCTACCTAACCTTCATTGTAGAATTTCATGAAAACACAGAATGCATAAAAACTTCAGTTTCCCTCCAAGAAATGCAATTTTAACTTTAAACTAACTTCCCTATTGTGTTTGTTCCTTTCTCAAGCAGCTGCACTGCAGCTATCAACAGAAGAATAAAGTAATTGTGTTCAGAGAAAACTCATTCCAATTACCCATAATAATTTGTAGGAGCTGTTTAAGTGTAAAGAAACAGCATACGCAGTAGCTACCCCCTCCATTCCCCTGTAAGTTTTTACACTCATCTATTGTATCTGTTTTCCACTAGCTATTAATGTAAAGCAGTGTGTAATTAAAGCCAGGGAAGGGAGAGAACTGAAAGGGGAATAAAGATATTTAGCAAGTGCATCATATGAATGGTCATTTTTGTCTCTTGTGTGGGAAGAAGGAATAGCAGAGGAAAATTAAGGAAACAAGTGAGTGTTGCTGACTTTCAAGAGGCAGGTGTGGGTGTCTATTACAGGCCACCTGATCAGGATGAGGGAGTTGACGAGGCCTTCTACAGGCAGCAATCTCAGGCCCTGGTTCTCATGAGGGATTTTAACTACCCAGGTATTTGCTGGAAGGCTTACACAGTCCAGAAGGTTCCTTCAGTGCATCGATGACAACTTCTTGATGCAAATGGTGGATGAGCCAAAAAGGAAAGGAGCTCTGCTGGATCTTGTATTCACTAACAAGGAGGATCTGGTTGAAGCTGGTGAGGGGTCCAGTGAAGGCTGACGGCAGTCTTGGCTCCAGCAACCATGAAATAGTGGAGCTCAGGATCTTGTGTGGTAGGAACAGAATACCGGGCTGGCCACTTGAGGGGAATACAAGACTGTGGTCATAGGATGTAGGGAGGCAACTAGGAAAGCTAAGGCCTCCTTTGAACTAAACCTTGCAAAGGAGGTCAAGGACAACAGAAAGGGTTTCTTCAAATACATTGCAGACAAAACTAACACTACAGGC